TCTGTGAAATAAGGGCAGAGGAGTGCCACTGTGGTCCATTAGCCCTTTCCAGACACCAGTGTGAGAGGCCTGGCTTTCAGAAATGTGGAAATACTGCTTTTTGCCGCAGACCCTGGGTATGGAGGAGATTTATTTCGAGGAGCCCTCAGCCCCCAGTCCTTGCAGTGGGGTGGGTGGTGAGAGGCGGCAGCAGGCAGGGCGCCCACTGGTGCAGGCTGCACGACTGCCCCTGCGCAGGGCACTGTGCTCCCTGTCCTCTTCCTGAAGGTTTATTCCCCAACGTCTTGTAACTCCCACCCAGGTGCATCTTCCTTCATCCACCCTGTTGAGAAGTTCGACCCTTTGCTCTCGGTTTCCTACGCCCTTTCTTTTCAGAGTGCTACTGCTTGACACCCAGGGGCCGGGCTGAAGGCCAGCCCTTGCTCCAGGGCTCTCAGCAATGTGGTGACATTGCACAAGTACAGCCTCCAAGGCAGCTGAGCCTCCTCTGCTGGCTGGTGATGCTGAAACAGAAAATAGTGACTGAATGAAGGTTATTCCAAACACAACGTGCACCTTTTCTTCTCAATCACGCTTGAATTTTTTGAGCCTTGGTGCTACAGATTACCAACAAAGCCTTCCACCCTGCTGGCATGGCCACCAGACAACCTGGGAGGCAGGGGGGAAGAAGGTAGGAAGCCCTGTCAGAGAAATAACTAAGGCATGAGGCAGAGCAAACGTGCTTTGGGCTTCACTGTCTGTTTTGTACCCGAAATGGGTCTGAAGGTTTGTATCTGGGCAATGGTCTTACATGGTGCCAGCAGCCTCATTTCAGCCTAAATTCTGGGTAACCCTTATCACCTGAGCTCCTGTACTGGCTGCTGACAGCTGCCTCCGGCTCTTTCAGTGTCACATCATGCTCAAGCAAATCGAGGTGCTGCAAGACCCCGGAGGTAGGAGCTGTGATCTTTGTGAAATTGTTTCAGAATTTGGGCCAAATTTTATTTGCCTTCCTGGTAGGAAATGTCTGCCATGGCACCTGTAACCAGGAGAGCAGGCCCGAGTGACAAACGGCATTTGTTTTCTTCTTTTTAAGGGTGACTAAAAGCAAGAAGACATTAAGTAAATACAAGGTGGAGAAATGGCTGACTTGAGAAGTGCAATAGACGTGTGATTTTCTTAATAATCCCACAGAAACTGATTATCTCAGTTTACAACTAGTTTAAGGCAAAACCAAAAATGACGAGGCTGCAGTCATAACCATCGCTTCAGAGGGGGATTATTCATATTATATGGAGCAGTGAATTACTAAAAAGACTTCATGTCTGCATTGCTGCAATTACTCCCAATTACTGTCACTCACTCGTGTAAGGGATTTCTTGCTGCTGTGTTTGCACCAGCAGCATCCCTCCATGGGGACGGAGAGGCGTGCAGCCACCATTGACAGGCGGTTGGGACAGGACCACTGCCATGGCCGCCCCAGCCGGGCAGCACTTCTCACATGTCACCAGCCCCCCAGCTTGCTGCTGCTGCCCTGGGGTTGCTAGTTTTTGGAGCAGGTCTTAGCCGGGCCACCAAGCAGGCTTTGCCCGGACAGGGATGCATAAAGAGGGGTCAACCCCACCTCCTCACCGCTATCACATGCTGCATCCAGCCTCTCCTTCGCAAGACGCTCGCCCTCAGCCTAATTAGGGCTCTGCCCTTCTGCAGCGTTGACCCACACCAGGGGCCCGGTGGAGGGTGGGGAAGCAGCCCCCGCGCCGCCCTTCAGCCGCAGGAGAGCGGTGGGCAGCACCGAGGCATCCATTGCATGTGCTCGCACTTCACCCTGGCCAGGTACGAATTGTGGGCCCCAGGCAAGCCTCCGCGTTTGTGAGAAGGTGCCGGCTCTGTAGCAGCTCCCCCGGCTTGGGCTGGGCTCCTCCGGCGCAGCCTGCTAATCGCCTCTCCTTGTCACTGCTGTTTCCTCCCCTTCCCCTGTTGCTGGTTTGAGGAACTCCTATTAACCTGGCTGATTCCACGACCATCAAAATAATTGTCTTGAGACTCGTCCACTTATTCAGCCTGTTATATCTCTTCCAGCGTGGGAAAGGGGGAAGGAGCCGCTGGGGGACAGCCCAGCTTTCCTCTGTGATTGTTACAACTTGGCTCCCCGAAGACTCGAGCTCACAGGAGCATCAAGCCTTTTATATCTTGCAATATGCCACAAATGGCTCCTGCTGCCGAGTCCTCCTGCCCGCTGAGCCAAGCCTGGGCGCCTGCACCCTGGCAATGCTGGTGGCAGTGGCTGCCTGCCTGCCTTTGCAGCTCTCCTGCTGCTTGCAGACGCAGCGTCGTGCCCGGTGCATCCCTGCATCCCCTCCCCATCTGCTGGCGATGGGTGCTAACCTCCAGCCCGCGCCAGTGACCCCCCGGTGCTGGCATTACCTTCGCTAGGCAAGGCACCTCAGAAACTAGGAGTAATGCACCACATAACTGCCAATAATTACCGTGGAAATGCAATTTTTTGTTTGTTTGTTTGCTTTCATCTGTATCTGCCATATCATGACTGAAAACAGACTCACACTTTTGGAAAGGAAACAGAACTCACTCCTCTCTTCATTTTTTCTCTTTTCCTTTGAAACTGCAGATCTTAGCTGGACACCCTCCTTTGGTTTTAGGAAGGTCTGGGCATCGACGGGACAGAAGCAGCTTGGCTCATCCTTCCCTCCCAGATTCAGACTTTTAACAAGAGCCTCTTATTAATGACAATAAACCACCGAAATCGAAGCACTTGCCGTTACTGGGGGATTTTTTTGCACTTACTTATGTAGCTGCCCTTGTAAGGACTAAGAAATACGTGGCACTGATGTGATTTACCTAGATGTTCCTGCTGCTGCTAATAGGTTTGCTTTTCTACACTCAGAGGCTGGAGCCTGTTTTCAGAGGTTTGTCCCGGCACAAAGGACAGGAGGAAGCCCTCTGGTTCGGCAGGGTTTGCTCTGCAGCATACACAGCAAACACAGCTCACTCTATGCTGCCACCAGACCCAGCCACGCTCTCCCCTGAGAGGATACATTAGAAATGGCTGTTCAGCCACAGGGGATTGGGGGGCAGAAGCACAAGAAAAAGGGGAGTCACAGCCCAACAGAGAGCCAACAGCTTGACTCGTACCGAGACCCACTGGCTGGTCCTGAGGGCCTAAGAGCGGCACCTTCCTGCTGGTTAAATTGATTTCTTCCATGCATTTACTGAAGGCAGGAGATACTGTCCCCTGCCAGCAAAAATCCTGCTCAAACCGGGTGGACTCACATTATCCTCATGAACATCAGCTCAAAAACTGAAATCCTGTTGGATCCAGGCATCGTCTACCTCTCAGTGCCTGGATGCTCCGTGGGACTGAAATCAAGCCTCCAGTAAACCCTGGAAGGGAGCTGAGCCTGAACAGCCCCCAGGGCCTGTGTGCGCGGCGTACAATCCTCCTGCCCTCGGGACTGAGCACCAGCTCTCCCCAGCACCCTTTCCCGGGGCACTTGACTTGCGGCTTGTAGTTTTCAGCTCTGATTTGAGCTGTTAAAGTCCTAGGGGGAGCACTAAGGCTCAGCTTTGGCTCTGGCTCGGGCCTGTCTGCCCCAGCTGGCTTGATGATGGGGGTGCCTGAGGGGCAATGCAGTGTGGGGACACCCCTCCAAAACCCATGCGTACGCAGCGCCAACCATCAGCACACGGCAGGGAAGAGCTCTTGCCCACACCTGTGCTCTTTGGAGAGGAGCTGGGTTCAATGCTGTCCACCTTCTGGTGTATGCTTTTGCAGGGTTTGCCTTTCATATTTCATTTCCCAAGATGGTTTGTGAGCTTCACGAGCACCCAGTGAGTCTTGCAGTCCTCTCCTCCCTCCAATCCCTACTTCAAGCCAAACCTTTCTTCCTGTACCCATCACCCCAAAAAGTCCTTACCACCCTGTAAGCTTTTCCCTGCCTCTAACCCCCTACACCTGCAGTGTTATCCCACTCTTGCTTTCCTCAGGGTCCCTTGGTCACACTTCTGCCTTGCGAGCTTCCGGGCTGTTGCGTGAAAAGGTGGGAGAGCCAGGCTGGGATTTTCGGAGGCGCTCAGTTTCCAGCGACACCTCATAGGTATTCAGGCTGCCTTCCTCCCTGCTGACGAGCCTCGTCTACAGAGTTTTCCTGCATAAAAAACTGCACATGTCAGAGAGAAAAGACAAATGACGATGGCAATAATGTGGAAGAACATCCTCTGAACATCTGAGAGGGCTGAATTCATGAACCACTTTTATAAAGGCGTACAAGAGGCACTTAAATATTAGCTGCTGCTTATAAATAATATTGGTATGTTAAATACACACATATTTTCACAGTTTTATAAAGCGAGTGATCTCTGTTTGCTTTCAACTGGAAATCATAAAGTAAAAATCAATGAGCTTATATCAAGCTTATATTATAGTCCTTGAAGAGTCAACTGACTCTATAAAAATGACTGTTTTCTAACGAAGATATCATTAATTGGATTGAGTTGGCAAAGTTTAAGTGCCTTGTCATATTTTGATTGCTATGCAGAGCTAGAGCTTATTGATTTTATAGAACAGCCTGTAGATAAATGTAATGATTAATTTCATTGGGTTTACAAGAACAGAAAACTTCTACGCAGAACTGGATGTGCTATTCTATTTTTTATAACTGCCTTACCTTGCAGGAGCGGGGGTCTTGCTGTGAAGCTACGCCAGGTGGCCTGGCCTTCCCTGGTTTCTTATTTACTCAAAAGAAATTCCATTTTCCTCCCAAACCCATGGTGTTTTCCACCCTCCCACCCCCCTAGCCCCCGCCCCCCCCTTTTATTTCAAAGGCTTTAAAGAGATTATTTTTCAATCTTTATTTCTTGGACGGGGTGGGTGTTTCTCTTTTCTTGCTGTAAAAAGGAATGATGGTTAGGTTTTAGTCCATGTTTCTCTGTTTGCAAAGCTGTCAGCCGCAGGTCCGAAACCCAGGCCCAGCTCGTGGACCCACTTCTAGGTCGGTGCTTACCTTGGGGATGGAGAAGACGGCTCCAGGCCCCCAACGCAGAGCCCTGGGTGTCCTGGGGCCACCACGCACCCCCTGCTCTGCCTCAATGCCCCTGGCCCTGCAGCAGCTGGGGGGCTCTCCCAGAGGAAGATGCAGAGGAGCATTGCTGCCTGGGCCTGCCCTCGCCAGCTTCCCCATGCCCCCAAAATCCAGCCCCAGGGGGATGGCCAGGCTGGCTGCTGGGGGGCTGGCTGCCCCCCAAAAGGGGCAAACCAGGGCTGTGATCCTCCTTGCCCCCACGGTGACGGGTCTCTGCTCGGTGCAGAGCCTAGGAGCTGTTTTTCCCAGCTTTGGGGCTATTTTTAGCCCTTGCTATGGCACTTGGTGCTGCATGGCTGCCTCTGAATTATTTGGTCTTTTAATTGGAGAAGTTGATATAAAAGCAAAGTGAGGGGAAAGGAAATACCAGCAGCCTCCCTGGGGACACCCTGCCCAGCCTGGGGGTGACAGCCCTGCTCACTGTGAACTGTCTCGGCACGTTTTTCTACCAGCAACACGAAGGATTAAAAGGATTTCAGGCCTTAATTTTTGTTCAGATCTGGCGTTTTCCTTCCTCTTTGTTCTAATTGTATTATTGCACCCACTGCTGGCAAAGGCGGCAAACTGCATTTCCAGGTGCTCCTGGTCATTCTCCCTGTTTGCACAAGCGGCCGAGAGCTTCTGACAATTAACTGCCAAGCCTACACATTAGCTGCAAGGCACCTGAATTTAAATCAAAGCTTTGATTTTTACGTTTGCCCTCAGAATGGATTAGTATTGAATTCCTGATCTACAAGGTGTTTAACGCGTCTCTGGATATCACTGACGGAGCAGAAAACTCTTGAGTAGCTTAAGCTGACCAGAAATTGAGACAGGAAAGTTGCTTTGTGCGGTCTGGGTGGTAACTGCTAAAAATCATATTGCAGTAAGTGCCCGTGCACCTCATTCCTCTGAATGAGCGCTCTCTTCTGCTCCAAACACAGACCCTCATTTCTGTGTGATCTTGGGAAATCACGTATGCCAGGCATGTTTGAGTGGCTACCTAAAATAAAATACCTGGGTCGATAGGCAAACAAGCAAGAGGTGGGTGAGGGTGCTCAAACCAGGCCACCAACAGCATGGTTCCTAAAGCTAATCCCTCTGAGGGGGCAGCTGACAAGATCACTGGTTCTCTACGTCGCTGCTGTGATGCTACATCTTAACCCGCATGGCTGGAGGGAAAACACCACCCAGTATTAAGCTAAAATCCCCTCTGCCATTGAGAGCCCGAGCTGCCACCTCCCAGCACACATCACAGCCTTCGTGGCACTGCCCTTCCTCCAGCGGCGCCCCAGCTTGCGGGGCCGAGCCTCAGAGAAGCCCTTTGGCTCCCCTCCCCTCCGGTTGCTCCTCAGCGAGGCACTGCCATGCCCGGCCCTACAGGAGGTTCCTAGGAGCCACTTTTGCCCCGGCGCTTTGGTCCCGGGAAGCGCCGCTGGCCGAGCTGGGGGTGCCCCAGGGGCGTGGGGTTGGCATGTGAGGATGAATGGGGGCAATCGCCGGGGCGGGAGGCGTCCCTGCTCCTCAGGCTCTGCCTGGCGATAGCTCCCTGCTGTGGGGTTAGCCCACTGCCACCAGCCTGCAATGGCCATGCCAGCGAAGCAAGGATCAGCAGACCCAAGAGAAGCACAGCACTGCCCAGGCTCAGGCAGAGGGCGAGCCTTCCCCCGAGGGCCGGTAGGATGCTGGCCCGTGCAGAGGGCCCCCCATTAAAACAGTTAATGGAACAGCGGGGGTATTTTGTCCAGTGCTTGCATGTCACCATCCGCAGGCATGAATCACTCCAGCCTGGAGGGGACAGCCCAGCACGGGGCTCATCCCCCTGCTAGCACCCGGCCGGCTGCAGCCACGCTCCCCACTCCTCGTGCTAGCGGCTGCCCTAGAGCCAGGCCATTTGAAACGTTATCCTGAATAACCGGGATGTCAGGAAAGTGGTGAAGCTGTGCTGGGCCTGGGGCTCGTGGCAGCTGGGCTGGGCACCAGCTGTGGGCTCAGGGACTGTGCAGGAGAGGGGCAGAGCAGCTCTCGCCAGCAGCGAGGGAGGTGAGGAGCAAGGAGGCTGAGGTGGGGAATGACAGAGCTGAGGTGGGGAATGAGGGAGCCAAGGTGAGGAGTGAGGGAGCCAAGGTGAGGAGTGAGGGAGCTGAGGTGGGGAATGAGGGAACCAAGGTGAGGAATGAGGGAGCTGAGGTGAGGAGCGAGGGAGCCGAGGTGGGGAATGAGGGAGGAGAGGTGGGGAATGAGGGAGCCGAGGTGAGGAATGAGGGAGGTGAGGTGAAGAGCGAGGGCGCCGAGGTGAGGAATGAGGGAGCCGAGGTGAGGACCGAGGGCACTGAGGTGAGGAGCGAGGGCCCTGGCAAAGCCACCTTCCCCCATGCTTTGCCCCTGATCGCACCTCGTCACTAAGAGCTGCCTCTGAACATGTCTACCAAGCTGCAGGGGTGACTACCATGGCTGGCACTCACGCCATTACCGTGCTCCTTGATCTAAAAATACGGTTAAAATTTTGCTCCTGAGATATATTGTAAAAATGTCAACTTTAAGGGCTTTTTCACAACAGGGGAAGGGCTCCTGGCGAGGTGTAATTCCACTCCTGCTCCAGGGGTGATGGGGAGCAGCAGGGCCTGTGTGCGGCCCTCACAGGTGAGCTGTGGCTCAGCCGTGCCAAAGGCAGCGCTGGATGGAAACCAACCGCAGATATTTATAAATCACTGTGCTTTACAGGCAAATTACTTCTCCTTAGCTCAGAGGAAACGAACTACCCAGGAGGGGAAGAAAAAAAATCTAACTTTTGGGAGGTTATCATGGGTTTCGTCCCTGAACATCTGCCAGCCCCGGTGTCAGCGCGAGGCAACAAACACATGGCACGAATCCGGGAGTATAAAAGATGTGTCACTGCGAAAAGGAGTAGGAGGAAAATAAAGCAAGTTGACAGCTCACATCCTGTGCCATAATCCTAGAAATTGTTAATATTTACAAAATTAACAACTAATATAACCGATGACAATCTCACTCCTCCTGGTTGTCATGAGGATATTAACAGTTACCACCCGCTCCAAACTGGAAATATTACCCGTCTCCGGAGCTCCTGCTGCTCAGCACACGTGGGGATGGCACGGACTCACCCTCCCCGCTTTTGTACCGGCAGCAAGCTGTGAGCCCGCGTGGAGTACCCAAGCATTGCTGGGGCTGGAAACGTCTCCTGACCTCACTCTGCTCCTGGGAGGGAGCAGGGGGTCTGGCAGAGCCAGCTGGAGTTTCCTCCCTCTTCCAGGCTCCTCCAGGAGCCCAGTACCTGCACACTGCAGTGTGGTGGGAGAGCCCGGAGGAGGAGGATGGGGAGGACACGGGGTGCCAGAGGGAGGAGAAACAAGGGCCACGCTGGTTCAGATCGCACCTCCAAACAAGCTGTCATTTCAGGAGAAATGCCCATGCCGCTGGTGTGATTTGCCAGCTGCAAGGCTGGCAGCTAATTGATGAACAGATGCTACAGTGTCATTTCCTTAACAGGAAAGACCTGGCTAAAACAAAAATAAAGATGCTTGAATACCAGTGACTCCATGGGAAACAAATTTCCAGACTAACAATCAGAAAAAGGTGAAACTTTAGAATCACCATGTTGTTGCCTGCATCTTTTTTACATTAGAAAGACAGTAACAGCAGGGCCCAAGTTCTCAGGGCTGAGATTTTTTTTTTTTTTTTAACCGTTCCCCATCCATCAGGACAACTGCAGGAGGCAATACAGGGTTAACAGACACTGTTAAGTACAAGAAAACTGTGGATGATGCCTGCACATTCGGATTTCTGGCTTCATTTTGCCCTATCTTTAGCAAGGAGCATTAATTCCCCAGGCCACTCTTTGCACAGGCACAGCATATCGGTCTTACGGTAATTTTAAAGTTTTCTTTGTCAGGATGCACTGTATGCAAAAAATCCCCAACCTCTTTCCAGTTCACCGTATGCAAAATCAAAACAGAGAATTACCTGCATTGTTGTTTTCAAAGAGCTCCCAGGTGCTGGAGAGTTGTAAAAAGCAGATTTCCTTCTCACAGGAATCATTTTCTCCCCTTAAAGTGGCATGTTGTTGGCTGTATGAGAGGTTGGCCCAAAGAGGCAACCTGAATGAGTGACCGTGAGTGAACGGATGGCAAAAACGTCCTTTTTAAGGCACCTTGAGATCAGGGATCTCATTGCCAGCCAGGCTAGTGAAACAATACTGACTAGAGGAGCAAAGAGCTGCCTTTACAGCGCTCCATGCTCCAGGCTGGCACAACACAACTGCTCACCTTGGGGCAGCACCCAAGGGCTCACTGGAAGGGGCCTCAGTCTGATGGATCCTCTGGAGAAATGACCATGGGGACCATCAGAGGGACCACCACAAGCTGCGATGCTCATTAACTGGTTCACCACGGTAGGACACAGCAGTTCCTTTCCTTGAAGTACAGTGGGGAAATAAACGTGACCCAGTAAAATGAAGCAAGTTGTTTTTAAATATTAAAAAAGCAGTGACTCTAGAGAACAGATACATAAAATCATCAAACTCACATTAAAACTGTTGTGTAGTTTGCTCTAAGAAGCTGGTACCTTTTTAAAAACACTAAAACATTAGCATGTTACATCCCAGATGGTTTGCTTTTCTTCCCCATGTCTTTTATTCTGCCCTGAGCCTCTGAAGAGCACTCCTTTTCCTCCCATTTTGTTTTCTGTTTGTAAAGCTTTATACATTTCATTTTTTTGTTGTCTTCTCAGATCATTATCTTATTTTCTCATCTTTCTTTTCAAGAAACTTCTTTTTTCCCCATCTTCCACCATCTTCAGTATAATACTTCTCCCTTTAGGATTTCTTTTATCCTTCTCATCTTTAAGCCTTTCACTTACTCTTCCCTAGACCCTTCATTCTTGCTTTTGCTTGTCAAAACTGTGTTTCTTCCTCCTTCATGGGGGAAGAAGTGGGAAGGTGGGGTGGATTTTTTTGGTATGAACACCCAGCATGCTCCAATCGCTACTTCGAAACCCTGCAGAGGAGAGCTCGCACGAGTCTTTCAACACTTTCAAAATCTGCAACACCAGTTAATGGAAATCTGACTAATGCTTGAAAATCAGCAGCTTATTTTAAAGTG